CAATGGTGGTGTTCCGGTCGTGAACATTCTCAGGCCCACTACGCTGGTCGTCTGTTGCTAAGCCATGTTAGGTGGGAGCCGTGTTTCGTGGGGGCCGCCAACTCACCTACTTTCCGGACGTGTCGAACCGATGGTGACCTTGGGGATGCGTCACTCTCTACACATGTACTTTTTCTTCTGTCTGGGCGCGCCCTGACAAGTAACTTGACCGTCTCCAGGACTTGTCGAAAATTCTAACGTCTCACTTGCTGATTGGATTTGCCTTGACTGTTTTAGCACAGTCATTTTTCGGCTGGACAGATGAAAGGGGCCCATGTTCTATTTTGATGAGATTTATTACATCAGAACGTGTATTTTGAATCGGCCGAGTTGCAAATGGCTGTTTTGCGTCTTAACTAGCAAAAAATGAACTGTCACTGCACATATACAGTGTTAATAATGATATCAGTATTCCCCATGGCATGATCGAAAAGCCTAGTTTTATACGTAGTTGACCGGGAGTTGCAAATGGCTGTTTTGCGTCTTAACTAGCGAAAGATGAACTCTCACTGCACATGTACAGCCTTAATAATGATACCAATATTCCCCATGGCATGATCGAAAAGCCTAATTTTATGCGTAGTTGACCGTGTTCGAGCCCGCGATTTTGATCCAGTTATTCAAGAAGTTTGTAGAAGTGTGCAACTAATCGGTTTGTGGTGCTCATGTGCTTTCAAAATCAGTTTACCTTGTCCATACGCCTTGCTGCTTTCGAAAGCTATGCACACACTAGTCAGCCTGAACATACAAAAGCTCTATATAACGAGGAGAGCCAGGGCACGTAGAACGCTATGATGGTCAACTCAGTGGGAATCATTCGAAACAGTCACTTGTAATCCTGGACGCCTTTCGTTCCGCATAGATGAGAGAGCCGTGAGGACAGTTGATGGGGCGAGTGGTAAGCGACCATGTAACGAGTTATGCCCTGGAGGGCAGCAGAAACTTCACGTATCTAAAACTTTGATTTTGCGCGTACCAAACATATGCAGCCTGTTTTGAGTGGCAAAAGGTCTCTACTAGGCAGGCGGCAAGGTTACGCCTATCCTAAGTTGGAGCTCCTGTGGATGCCAAAGTTGAGGTTGGTGATCAATACAAAGGCGATTTGGAAAACAACACGAACATGGGTTAGGGAAAATCAGCACGAGTATGGTTGATTTCTGTTCCTCAATCATTGAAGAATTAGACGTAGCAACCTTTGAGGTCGTATTTACGCCTAATACACTGTAGCCCAAATACATATACACTAGTCACGTCGCACTAAATCTTTCGCCTAGTCGAGCATCAAAAGCTAGAAGTAGTAGAGGCAACGGTAAAATCTGTCATGTTGAACAAAACATTTCATCACCCCTGAAAACCAGTTCATGTCCTGGATCCTACAAATCCTTCAAATTGTTTGCAACTATTTTTCACAAGGAGCATTGCGCGGGAACTGCAGTAGATCTAAGCTAGCCAAACATGCGAACTGTCATCTTCTCACGATAACAAACGAGAGCGTCCAAGTTATCTACGCAAACCACTCCAACATATGGCTAAATGAAGGAATGAAATAAAGAAATTGAGTTTTCACTTTCGAGAAATTCACTCATTTCTCGAAAACAGTCCCGTTTTGGTTCAAGTAGAACATACGGTTGACGGAAACTCGGAGACTGCGCCTTCCTGATGAACCCCAAGAAGGGCAAAACCGGTCGTGGGCTGTTGAAGAGTTTACAGCAACCTTGTGAGTAGTTTCCTTGATGAGTTTCAACTTCTTTCACAGCCGAATGAGGGGTACTTATAGTTTGAAGCTTCGCACAACTGTCGCGTTAGTGCGATCTAAAGATTCACACCTCAACTCCAGAACACGTCGCGCAGTACAATTTCCGCTGGTCGTTTTTTCTGGAATTTCGAGGGTGGAATGAGCGCATTTACTCTAAATCTGACGACCGCTTCGGTGAATACAGGGATGACCTTATTATCACATCATCCAGAATACGCGAGATTACCGACCTCCGAGTTTCTTCCTGATTCGAAAAATCAAGCTTGGTTTACCAACTAAAACAGTAAAACTGCTCTTCAACTAGACCGATGATATTATCCCACCGGCTAGTGTAATATACTCCATCTTGGTACACGTGACATATTCTACGGCAATAATAATTTTAAAGATGGCATAAATCACACCAGAATATGCTATAAATGAATCCGTACTGGTGAAGTACACTCATTTGCAAACTAATTTGGCAAACTAATTTGGTTTCTCGAGATATTTACCTGGAACCCAGCTGAATCTCTCGTTTGTGATGTTTCCAGACAACTGAATGTGCTGCGCCAAGCCGCCTCATGTTTCAGTCGCTACGATATTCGAGATATCGCGACACATGCATATTTGTAATACACCACTCATAAGGTTGCTGAAAATTCGTCGGGCTGTCGTGGGCTGTCGACGAATTTTCAGCAAACTTATGAGTAGTGCATTATAAACGAACCCGTACTAGTTCAGCGATCCACACAGCAGATGCACCCATGGCCACATAGTTTGTGGTTTTACAAGAGGTCCCAGTAGATTTTGAAGAAAATTTATCCAGAAATTCGGATCAATTAATGGGACGCATTCAATATTTTAGTTATGAAAAATGATCTTGAATGGTCAACAATGACTGAATTAGTCCAATCATAAGATAATCAGTGTAGATAGAATTCAGCATTCCATAACTGATTGTAGTTTGTTCACTAGGCGTAAGCTGGCTGAGCACAAAAGCGCACGTCAATGGGATAGGTAAAACATTCAGCGTGTACATTTCAAACAGTGTTGTGATTGAACTTTCTAACTGCGGTAGTACTCACAAGATAAACTGATGCTTGGAGATTACTGGCCTAAGGAAACACAATTAGTGCTTCCTAATGGGTTCAACTTAAGTTGAAAGCGCATCATTACGGAGGCTAATTTATTGGTAGGCAACCAAGCCCTTTCACCGTGATACTACCCCTTGAAGTAAGTTACTACTCTTAAAACTAAACACCCGAACGCGCACTGATAAAGACATTTTGTTTCCAACATTTATTGTCCAAACAGAAAGCACTGCAAATTGCCATTATTTTTCATCAGCGTCTTAAGAATTCACGGATGTGGACTGGATTGGAGGCGAGTCGCAGTTGACCTTCGCAAACCCAATTCTCTGATACATTGGTTGGAATACTGTCAAGACATTGTGCAAAAATGGCATTCCAAGTATCCATGAATGTTCAGACGTCGGTTTTTGCATAAATCCTGATAGGCATTTTCGATCCCTTCCACGAACAACCTAAAATATTCGAACAGTTCAACCGAGAGTCAACCGCATAGACAAGACTAACTGGTTTGAACACTACTGCCGAAACACAGCAGCATTTGAAAAGGAAAAACTTTCTCATGGGGAATTTCAAAAAACATTTCTTTTGAGAAGTAACGAAAAGAAACGGAAGCGTAAGCTCCTTTAGAAGCTCGCCTTGCTCGGCGATAGTTCCCCAGGTGGGGCGGTGGTTGGAGTAAGGACTGAAGGAGCAAGGATTTGTCTCAACAACTATCCAATCACTGAACCTTGTGAACAAGGTCAGCTTGTCAGACAGCCAGGCATGTGAATACAGATATATGCATATGAACGACCATATGAAAAGCGATCGCAATAGTAATGTGCCAGGTCAGTCCAGTTGTCATACCCTTGGGTCTATGCTCACAAATTCTCTCGGACACGCACCGAGTCGCGCGACGCATATATTTCACTCAGTGCAGGTGAACGAACCGGTAATCTATCTTTGAGGGTGGGGGATAAGCTGCAGATCTCTTCCGAGAAATACATTGAAGGCCCATTTAAAATCGATGAGTAGACGACAAGTTTCAGAGAACATGTGGCTTCTTTAAGGAAGGCAGAGGTACATTAGAGTTTTCGCAGCGGATGTGGTACTTAGAGGCCAAAGCCAGTCATTCGCCCCAGGTGCCTTCTTATAAACGGTTCTGCATATCCATTTTGTATCAGTCAAAATTGTCTCTAAAGCTTAAAGAGTCTGATGATCTGTTTGGTTAGTAGGTCTTGGTTGGCAAAATAATCAATCGATGCACCCAAATGAATTACTGAGTTGTCGTTCGAAACGTTAGGCAGATCAACCTGATCACCTAATTATGAACACGTTCGACTGTTTAGTCGTGATAACTAAGGGGTTCTCAACGTAAACTAGTGGATTAGGGGCATCATAATAGTATAGCCTGTCGAATATCTGGTGTTCGAGTGCGGCCAAGGAAATGCAGTGATTGTAAGCCCCAATAATAGTGAACCCAAGGCTTAGCGAGAGTTATGTTAATATAAACCTACAGATTTACGGTTGAAACCGCTTTTGTAATCCTGTATTATCTGTCATTACCGAAGTATGAAGTCGTAGAAACTACTGAAAAGAATGGGTTGCCTGTAGTGGAATTTCCGGGACCGTAAACTTCTCAAAAATAAAGCACTTACTTCCTGGCACAACTGCATGTCCCATTTGAACACCAAGGTGGACGAAAGAGCAAAATGCCTCCTTTCACAAGTTAAGTTTGTGCTAAAGAGAAACTCAGCTGGGGTCTACCTGAGTTTGCTGTTACCACTTCTCATCCGGATGTCACTCAGTTATTACTAATTTGCCAAACCACACTCCCTGAATCTCACAGACACATAGTACTTGAGCAACTATTATCAATTCTCATATTACTGGTGCACATGTCATCGGATGTAACTTACTCTTTTTACTACAATACACAATCCAGTTGGAACTCACCTCCATTATTAATTTAGCCGCTGGTATTCTGAAAGTGGTACCACCCAGTATTACCTCAAGTTCTGGATACGTATAAATATGTCGGCATTCTACGTAAACTCCTCGTTCAGTGACGTCCCTAAAAGTCATTTGAAGGTGAATTTTCTTTATGAGGTCTTTCGGGCCGATTATGTAATAACTGCCTGTATCGATGAGCACATGACAGTCCCTACATAACACGAGGTCTCCAAACCGGATGCTGAAATGAACAGAAAAACGTGAGTTGTGGCTACTGATTGTAAGATATGCAAACTCAGCTTAAGATAACTAAATATGTGAACAGAAATATTGTCCGTGAAGCACAAAACTAAGGCCCCTTTAAGGTGCTTTTCGAGGACCCTCACCTGCGGTTTCCTCGAAGTCAACACCCTCAACGTGAAAATGTTATTATCGAAGACATTCAGAATGGGGCACTCTCGTTCATAATTAGGGCATAATTTAAACTCAGTGAGCAAGTTCGAGGCAGTTAAGCGTTTGAATTAACAAGATTTCTATCTATTAGCTCAGGAAATGCTCAAGTAATTGGGAATATTGAAATAATGGTTAAAAGTTCAATTCATTTTGGTTTTCGAACATGAATACCCAACTTAAGTATGGGGCTTCTGGTTCCCATGCTTTCTAGTCACAGAAACAGAAGGACAAAAACTGAATCACAAAATTGATTAAAATTGTTCCACACAACACAGAAACTCTTAACACATTGTGATGTTTGAGAGAAATCGATTATGCCACCAGCTTTTACTTTTGGTCGTATAGGCGACTGACGGTCTTGTCATTCTACTAGGCGACACAAACTCAACCTGAAAAAGGCCACGTGGCACGCTGGCCTCACTATACCACACCCTCAAATAATCCAGATCCTTCTAGGTCCAACAATCCCCATTTGGGTAACAAGTCCTGGAAAAGGTACCATCTGAGTAAACCAGTGTGATTGACATAATTGTACGTGCATACATCCACCGAACCGTTCGACAAGCAACACTGAGAGGCACTGAGAGTGCGACGTTCGTGCTCTCACGAGTGTGCAATCTTGTGCATTTATAAGAAGGTTCACTTCACCTTGCGCAAATTATCTAGGTTTCGCATCCATACAACTTACAACCGGATGCTTTGTCTGTAGTGACGACATTATCAACACACCTAATTCCTCACATAACAACAGTAGTACTGTCGCTAATCCCTACCACGCACCCACACCATAATCACCACTGCCATACAATAAATAATACTGGCCTCCACGAGCAAAGTATTCAACCTGTGCTAATTACCTACCACATTTAGCTGTGCATGTCTTTGACGCTAAGCCTCTCCGCTTATCCGCTGTCTATTCCCGAATCAAACATTCATTCCACGTCCCATCATTAACATCCATCATCCAATCGTGATAATGAAATTAGCCATCTGCAACCCAAACACAGAAAACGGAAAACACCGTTCAGACAACCAGAAACGATAAACGTAGTCCTGTTTCCATATTGGAACCTCCGATCGCTAATTACTACAAACCAATACTTCGATGCCTTACACATATCCAGTCAAAACTATCAAGCATAATGATGTATCTGTCATAAGACCAAATCGTCACTGTATAGTCTACCCTATTGCCAATGGCATTTCTAGATTAGTCCCGTGAATACCCGCAGTCTTCGGTGGTTAGCACAAAGGGAGCCTATATCTTATTATAACCAAGTTGACCGTATACCTGAACTGCCTAGCAGCCCAGAGATACCTTCTGTTTCTTCATTTCTTCAACTAACTCTCCCGTCTGAGTTGCAGCATTGAAGCTTTCAGTACGTAACAAAGTCCTCTGCCTCGAAAAAAAGACCTGTCAGTCTTCAACTTCCAAATCAAGCCTTACATACTGCAGTAATCCTTACTACAATGACCAGTGCATTAACTCTGTCCCGGGAGCGACGGGACCTACCAGGAGCGACGTGTTCCATTTTCACTTTTTTTCGACTACTCTATACATAACCACCTGTAGGTAACGATCATCTTCTGCTTGGTTTTACCACCTAAAAAAACCCTGGTATTCTACTCATAACTAGCTCCTGATAGTGGTGGATACTTTGTGTACATTTTTCGCATCATACATTCTCGTGACAATTTTTCACTCTCACTTAACCAGTCACAGGATTCCCATTTCCCTCGATTCCACAACTATCCACACCCGCCTTATGTAGGTATTGGTTTGTGCGCCCTACTGACACAACTTTTTATGAGCTCTGCTTCTTTCCAGAGTGAAATTTACGAGTGACCATTTCAATACGCCTAGCAGTACGTGGCCATTTCTTCGTGCTCATGAATGCCACGCAAAGAGCTCCTGATCAGTGCTATAATCTGGTTGGAATCAGTAGTCCCAATCACTAACACGTGGGCTACGCGTTCTGCTTCATCTATTCATCAGTAGTATCAAAAAGGCTGTACCAAATAGTCAGTGAGGCGCTCATTTCAAGTCTTCCATCTAAATTCCCCTCTAACCCCTCACAGTACGACACTCGCAGAAGAAGACCACTTACCTCATCTCAGCTTAGCTACCTTAATCTAATCTTCCTCGCTCACTAACAGAGCCAAGCAATGGCTAAATTCCCCTCTAACCCCTCACAGTACGGCGCTCGCAAAAGAAGACCACTTACCTCCTCTCGGCTTAGCTACCTTAATCTAATCTTCCTCGTTCACTAACAGAGCCAAGCAATGATCGTTATGTGTCTAGATATGCACCAGATCGCATGTGCTTACTTTCTACAGGAATGCTTGGTATCGTCGACCTCATCCATCCATGGTTACGATGATACCTGGGCTGCCTTACTAGCGTAATAAAATCTTAGGTATTATTGTTATTAGTGATGCTATTCAAAAGAATGTTCTTGACCCGGCTGCATTTCCTGTTTAACTTCATGCCACTGATTGCTTCTTCATGAGCCTCGCTACTAACTATCCTATCTTATTTTCCCCTCACTTTAGTGCCCCGATAACTCCCGAATCCTTATTTTGAACAACTATGATTGTAAAAATATCCTTCTCTCCCATTGTGAAATTTCCGAATTTTGTACCCCTACAGGTTACACGCGTAGGCATTAAACATGAAGGCAAATCGGTGCCTTAAGAGGTCTTTGTCCACGCTGGCTTAGATCACTGTTCAATTATCACCCCTAAAATGCATAAATGTGGTCGAACGGCCGGATATCATTTTCCGTTGAAAGTCGCTTAACGTTGCGTTGACGATACATTTAGTGTAATCAAACGTGATAGCTTGAACAGCTTCTACGACCACCTCAACAGATTAAATCCTCACATCAAATTTAGCATAGGGATAAAGTACACCCCGGGCACACTACCCTTCCTGGACTGTATCACATATAAGAGTGGCGGACAATTAAAAAACCACTGTCCACCAGAAACCAACAGACACAGGAACCGTCTTAACCTACTCATCAGCACACAAAGGTCCGTGTGCACCAGCATTGTCTCATCGATGCTTAGTCAAGTCAGAGCGTTGTAACAGAAGATATCGACCGAACAGCAGCTCAAATCAAAACTGCCAACAGATTTCAAGAAATTGGATACTCAGTGAGTTTGATTAGGCGGCAATTAAGAAGGATATTGGCTCCGGTGTCTAGACCCAGTAAGGAATTATCAGGAAGGTCAGCTTCCTGAAATCAACGACTGAATGTCCGAAATCTACCGAGACTCTCAGCTCCGCTAGATGTCGACCAGACAGACAACAGCGCCCAACAAGCAGCGCATCACAGCCTTGTATCAAACGCAGACAGCGGAGCCAGCGTTGATCAAGGTCAGACAACGCCCCGCAATATGCAACACGTCACAGCCTTGTACCAAAGCTAGACCGTGTGTGTCAGCATTAGACTAGGTTCAGAAAGTATCCCTACAATGAATAGCTTGAGACCGTCGTACTTTTCTCACTCGCTTGCTCGGAATATGGTTGTTGTGTTCCCTTCTGTAAGTTTTTTCTCGGCAACTAGGCACTGGAACGGGCAGATACCACAGATTGGTGAATCAGCAGATATAATAGGAATGGACTGTCACTGTCATTCCGTACAAAGCAGTAACATCGGAGGTCATTCGAAGACTGCTGGACTTAGCCAACATTCGAGTAGCTTCCCAGAAGGGGAGGACCATACGCTCAGTGCGATTGAAAGATCTCTTGCCAGCTGAAAGATATAGGGACTGCGTGTATAAATTCAACTGCATCGATTTCGCTAAGGTTTACATAGGACAAACTGCCGGGGAATTACACACCAGAATTAGTGAGTGTAAAAGAAAGATAAACAGACCACCAAGAAATGCGGAAGAATACCAGGTGCTGATCAAAGACAGGGATGGTGGTACTTGCGTTAGATACAGCACAGAATGTGGAAATTTCAAGACTCCCACCACAGCGGCTGATAGCCGAGGCGGTGGAAATTATCAAGCATCATAGCGTGAATAGAATCGAGAGTGTAGAACTGGCGAACGTATGGAGAGCGAATTGACACGTGATTGTTTGTCAGTGTGCGTGGAATCATTAGCAAAACCAGAGGGTGGAAATCCCAACCCGACTCTCTCTCACTCTTCCTTACACAACTACTGTAGCACTGGCTCATCCACGCAGACAGATGAAAAGTTCAAACGACATTCAGGAGGGGCCATCACGTAAATTAGAAGCACTAGACCCAAGCTGGACCCAAATCCATTTAAGTTTCCCCACCCTAACACACAAAATCCCTTGGCCGACTCCTAACACAGAATTAGCTCGACTTAGCTGATTAATTCTCCTTCCGCCTTACATATCAACCAACCTGGTTACCTAGTCACCTGGCCTGATGAAGATTTTGCCAAAACCGAAAGTTGCCCAGGATTAGATCTACCGATTGTTACCAAACTCTTCTAAAAACGATGGTCGAATGACCCTTTTAGTCCCACAGATAGTAGTCAGCAGTCAACAGTTTTCCTTCTAACTTTGTGCTATGGACCTTTTGCTACACTGGATGGGAATTGTGAAGTGGAACCTTTCAATAAACGTGTAATTTTCTTACAACTACGAAGATGGTACCTAGATATACAAACAGCAATCTCACTTGTTGACACTATGATACTGGGCTGGGCTAACTGCGTACTTCTCGTGTGCATCTCACTATCCAACTAAAACCAGCTTTTCCTCCTGAATCATCCAAATGATAAACCATGTATTTCTCCTCTTTTATTTCCGAGTCCTATCTACTTCAAACGGATCGAATAGGGAAAGCGCAACTATCGTCCATTCCAACCTACCTAATTGATCTCAACAAGATCAACCGTTATTGATTTCTGTACGGACCTCGGCGCCGAAGAACAAGACAAGTGCAGCTGAAACTTTAACTTATAACTGACGACTTGGTCAACTTTCGACTTAGTATTCATTTAGCTAGATTTTCTACCTGTCTATCTATGTGGCACCACTCATAATCAGGCTTCATCAAATTAACATGAGTACCTATGACACATGACGACTATTTCAGACTAATATTTATCGACCTGGCTGTGCCCTCATGCTCAAAATAAAGTTCTGAATCTTGTGCCGTAGCCATCCACATCATGATCGTCATATCAACACTGACGGCAACACACCAGTAGTACACAGTGGAGAGCTCATAGGAAGTATAAGCAAGACAGTAGCGTGACAAACAATTGCACCGGTGTAGGGCATCATTCTTTGCTTACTTCACCCAACATGAACCCAGCATACAGCGGCAGTAAACCTCTGGCTTGGCAGCTAAGCTAGTAAGTGATGGTGCGAACGCATTGTAGGGTTACTAATTTCGCACGAGTCGTGTGAACATCATCCATGGAGGCGCATAAATTGCACAGCAGCCAGTTCGGTTGTAGACACTTTTACTTCGCATATCTATGTCATGGTCTGTACTCACTTTCGTCACTTCAGAGCAGATGTAATCCCTTCTTTGATAGACAAGGGTGCGGCAGGTGTAGTAAGTTTACTTTCTAACCAGCTAAATCTGATAATTTCGATTCGCTGTGCTAGTGGCCCTGCTCCGTTAACAAGTGCTCACTTACGTACCAATTCGTTGTGCCCACACTCAGCCATTCACCTCCTGCTGTGCTACGAAGGCACTGGTGATCAACTGTTTGGGGATTATCTGGGTCTTCAGATCGGAGTAGTCAAGCATCGAAGCCTTCGGTTAAGACTGCCGGTACAGTCGCCTTGACTGCGTTGCCCGTCAGTTTCAGCGAACTTCAGACATTTCGAAACGCTAAATCGGCCGAGTTCGTATCGGAACAAAAGCAAGCCTTGGCTACCGTGCCGAGAAAATGAGTCAAGATTTTTTTACGGAAAATAAAAAATACTTATTTGACCCAAAGTTTAGGCAAAAAAGGTGCATATTTTGGCTGGGTCGTACAATTTAAAATCTCAAATCCATGGCTCTCTGATCATAGCTCCTACCCATCATCACCTTCATTGTTAAGTGCCGTTAATCGAACATACACAGATGAGGCTATTTGACTCAGGTGCCTAGCATCGCTTAGCAAAATCCCCAATAAGAGTTCGCAAAGACAACAGTCGCTGAAATCCAAAGCATAAAGCCGAAGGAAGATAATATACTGAGAGCTACCGCAACAAGCAATGCAACATGCCCACTTATTTCAAAAGAAATAAGTAATATCGGTGTTTACTAATTAATTTCATCTCCAAATAATATAAACTTTATGTTTTGCCTCAACCAAATCTGTGACGAACGACGTGGCATAGTGACTGATGAATGACAATAATTACAACTCGACAGGGCAGCCTTGGTATTTGGCTTGAGTACAGCCGGTACAGTAAGGTATAGTCTGAGGTAGGCACTTCTTCTGTGGAATCCAACAAACAACCGAAGGTTAAGTTACCGTTATGGCGAATGCTGTTCTAACGGGGATGATCGCACAGTCCTGTGGGGAACGCTAGTTGTGTAACAAGAGTGGCGACTGCAGTGACGAATGCTTTGAATGACCGGACAGATAGGAACTCAATCAGTAATAAAATAAACTTACTCTCATTTCATAAAATTGAATGGCGAATAAAATGTGCTTATCTTGTAAAATGAAATGAAATTGTATGTTCATCATGACCGTCACCGTGGATAGCAGCATCGGCAGAAATGTCAGTAGTAAATACTAGTGCTTGACTTTCACACAGCCATAAGAAATTATTCCTCACTGAAGAGTGAAAATGATAGACGCGAGAACCTAGTTCACACAGCCCTATGGTCCCATGAAATAGCAAGACACCTATATTCTGGAACAGCAACGAGATAACATCCGTGGGGCTGACTTAATATCTTTTGCGAACCCAGCTCAAAATGAACTTACCGTGTAAAGACAAACAACCTTAGCAGGGTTGTTTGACTGGGGGAAAAGAATAGGCTTGTTACTTGGACCGGTTACGTGCCCTGTTCCGTAAGGTTTCTAACCTCGTCCAAAGCCTCCAGTGTGACGATGGTTGCCTTCGTTTTACGTTGCTAGGTCGTGACTTGCACTCAATAGCCTTTCGCTAACGTCAGTTCAGACTTGCAAACAGTGCTCTCTCCAGTTTATGACAGTTGGGCTTGCGAAGCACAGGCCACTACAGCTCAATCTGGTGAGCTTCACTTGCTGCTTTTTTCATTCTGATTCGTCACCAAGCCCCTGTTGACACACAAGTACATTGCGAACACGGAACAGCTAGCTGGCACATACACTACTTCAAGGGCGCAGGCGACAGAACATTTGAATCCACCTGATTCCTTCCAATCGGAGGAAGGTCAAGTTTCGCAGGCGTAGATAGACTGCTTCTACTGTTGTGTTGTACGCAAAGCCCATCAGTCCTGTTTATGTATGCTTCTGACGTCATAGGTGATGCATGCTTGTGGCTATTACTCGTCCCATAATCACGCTTCCACTGACTTCTCTTGTCACGGTGGAGTCCAAATAAATGGACCGGCAAACATTTTCGGAGGGGATCAAAATTTTGAACACATACTTTTCGCATTAAAGGTATGCAAATCATTTCGAAAGTAGAGGTCAAATTGGAAATTATATCTGGAGTAGATTGTGCCCGTTGCTTACCGTCAAATAACAACAGTACAATTCTGTTAGTTTATCTCTATGTCTGTTTTCGATACCAGATTGACCATCCAGAGCTTCACTGAAGTACGAGAACCCGACTGAATAGCAGCAGGTGGTGACGGAGATTTTTTCAAAGTGATGGTCCTACATCATTGAAGACTGCTGCACCAGGTCGATCCTTGATTATTTATCCCACAGTCAAGTTCTGAAGGTTTGTTGCTTGAATTCGCTGCAATACTTTTGGGGCGTTCTCAGCACCTACCACGATAGTCGGCATACTAATACTGTTTGACCTCTGATATGTCGCCGGGTTGGATGATTTTCGGGCCTAGCAGGGACAGTTCTCTGAGATCCATTCAATACAAGCTTTTTTGTCTGGAATCTGGTGTTTGGGTGAAGCTGAATTTAACATGCCACAGAAAAAAAGCTACAGGTTGTGGTGTGGTGGCCTTTCGATATAACACATTTAATTAATTTTTTGTTAACTGGAGACTCAACCTAATCCTAACAGAATCTCTCATTTATGGTGTATTACATTACCAAGAGCACAGTGCTAGGTAAGCGCATGCTCATCAGAAAAAAAAAGAAATTAACAAAACATCCATCAGCCTATAAATTCTATCCTGTTTCCGCTAACACCACCCGAATATGGTAAAATTATTTTCCAGCTAAAAATATGGGAAATTTCACGTACAGAGTAACCGAAACTGTGGGCAACCGCGAAGGAGTAGTCGCCAGATAAACCACATGACCATAGTGGTACTCGTTCGGGACATCCCCAAAGACTGCGTCTCCTCTCTCGAAAATTGTTGCGCCAGTTGTAGACTGCTTTCTGTTTGAAGGAGGTGCACAAAATGGATTATACATGGGATATTGTACGTGAAAAAGGGACTGAAACAACCTCAAGCGTTACGGTGAATCGACTCAGTTAAGAAGTTGGTTGGCAGCAGATTCTCATGAGTAGCTGGACCAAGATGCTATGGATAAAGATAGTTAAAATTCACGTTCAGTATGCTATTTACATGTTCTATTATTAGATCTCGGCGTCGACGAAAAATACATTGGAAATATAATCATGCTAAGGCAGCACTGATACTCCGAAAGGCGTGAGGTTAGGTGAAAGTAATAACCTATTGACCGCTTTGTTGATTAAGCATGGCTCATATACTATACCAACATTATTTCAAACTTCACTGCATAAATCGTAACTTCAAGCGCCAGAATAATGAATTCAAGTGCAGCAGCGACTGCCGCGTTGAACAACCTGATGGTCGCTATCAGGAAGGTCAGCTTCCTGAAAGCAGCCACTGAATGCCCGAAATCTGCCGAGACTCTCAGCTCCGCTAGATGTTAACCAGATGGACAACGCCCCCTCAATATGCAGTGCGTCACAGCCTTGCATCAAACCCAGACAGCGCGAGGCAGCGTTGATCAAGGACAGACAACGCCTCCGCAATATGCAGCACGTCACAACCTTGTACCGAACCCAGACAGCGTTGGTCAGCGTTGATCAAGGTCGGACAACGACCCCGCAATATACAGCGTGTCGCAGCCTCGTGCCAGAGCCAGACCGTGTGCGTCAGCATTGGACCAAGCTCAGACAGTGTCCTTTTAATAAATAGCTTGAGACCGTTGTACTTTCCGCACTCGCTTGTTCGGAGTATGATTGTTGTGTTCCCTTCTGTGAGTTTTTTTCGACAACTAGGCCCTGGAGCGGGTCAGCAGCAGATGCCTCAGAGAGGTGAATCAGCAGACATAACAGTCGCAGTCTTGACAAGCAAACCACCGTGATGGTCTTCAATAACCGAACGGACTGTAGGCAGGACGTTTACATGAGTGCAGAAAGTGATAAATTTAGGCGGCTAACCTAGACAGCAAAACAAGTAGACACTTGTTTGTTGGATCAATCTGCGACGCGCATATCGCAAAACTGGAAAGTGGATTACTTAACTACCGAATAGGTATCTTATTACAACACTAATTGTAGTGTATGTTAGTCGAAAGCGCATGCTTCCAATGAGCGCACTGAGATACTGAGTATGAAAACTTGGTCTCCGTTGAATTCCCGGGGAAGCCTGAATGTGAGTGTGCTTCCATTCGGGTATTACTGGTTAGCATTGACGCTACGGATGAGATGCCGCTCTGTTTATGCTTGCTAAAGCAATCCTTCCAACTGTCAGTTCAGTAACAAAATATTCAAACGACAGTGACCGGCACGATAAGAGGAGTTTTTAATGAAGCTCATCCATCTGGTACTAGGACATACAAGTATATGGTCAATGAGTTTTGGGTGGGATTTTAAGGGACTCTTGTTTATCAGCGTAGTTCTCAACCAGAAAGTTGAGAAAGAAGTCATCAAATTCACATGGCTATGGACGTTCACATAGTCAGGAGGTAATTTGGTGTGGCTTTGAGTATGCTAACTGTCCTGTCGTCACCAACTGCCTCTGAAGGTTTTAATGTTATCAATCATAATTTAATTGAATGGGAAGAAACATCATAAATTCGTGCAAAGACCTGGGGAGGAAGCCGATCGGTTTGCGGCATCTACAGGAGGAAGAAGCGCGTCACTGTTTGAAGTTTTTATGTAGTAATTTCATATACGCTTGGTTCAGAGAAAGATGGGTAACTACAAATTTATTCTCGAGAAACACACTCACTTACAACTTAATTTGGTTGTCACGAGACACAGCTGAAGCTCTCGTTTATGATATTCTACAACTGAATGGGCTACACACAGGCCCCCTCATTATTCAGTTGGCACGATATTCGAGATATCGCAGTATATTTTCAATAAGAATATATATATATATATATATATATATATATATATATAGTACATACGTATATACATGAAGAATCATGTAGGAAAGCAACATCTATTCAGACAAATATCCGTGACATTTAATATTCGGATTATAGTTCTACTATTTATTGCAAGTTTGGAGTAATGAGGAAAATGTTAGATATACTTAAAGCCGTCTTTCAAACGCTATACGCTGGTCCATCAAGAGGATACACAACGATGAAGGGTGCAAGCCATTTATCGATGATCAAATCATAAAAATGGTGTAAATGATTGCCCCATTACATGCTCACGAAATTGCTTATTTCGGCGTAAAAATAGTGACTTTGATATGCAGTATATCCACCAACCTCATGCCCAGGCCCACGCATAGAGAATCCTCTTGGTTATGTAGAGGCGCGGCTCTGCATCCATAAGCGCGTAGGAGGGACGTGTACAACAAACTTTCGTGAATAATTTACTTTCGGAAAGAGAAATCTCAAAAGGATGCAACTGCAGGTGGTCAACGGGAAGCAACGTATTTCGATAGACGCAACTTGAGTCCAGGTTTGGTTCGAGTATACAACTGCCGTTTTTGCTGGCTTATGTGGTGTTCGTATATCCCCACGACACTCATTCAATTCTGGTTGACCGTTTATTCTGTGAACTTTGTGAAATCCTTACGTTGAACTACATATAATTGTATACCGAAATGTTTTGCATGTTGCTTCGCTGTCGAAAAAAAACTGACGGTCTAGTAGGATGAGCTTTGAGGAGAACATAGTTTGTTTGGTCTCACCTACCGCACAAGAAATTATTCCAAGCTTTATGCACTTTAAAACACTACTTGCTAAATTTGTCCTTTAAGTATAAATCAGTCTTACATTTTTTTCTACATTGAACTTACAGAGCATGTCACGAGTGCATGTACCCGTCACATTAGCGAGTACAGACTGATGTTCCTTTGTAAATCGTAATTGATAGTTACATCATTTTCTTTGCGCAAACACGTTGTCTGTTTAAGCAAGTTGTGTTGATTTTTGCTGCTTGACTGCATATGATCAGGCGTCTTATTTAAGTTCAGAAAAAGTTGCCAGCGCCTAGGTACAGAGGTATTAAAAGGTTTCTGATGACAATATGATCAGAAACTATTGAACCATCCGAGCGTGTGTTGCCATCTGACTGAAGTGCCTCCTGGCCCTCTGCATATGATCAGGCGTCTTATTTAAGTTCAGAAAAAGTTGCCAGCGCCTAGGTACAGAGGTATTAAAAGGTTTCTGATGACAATATGATCAGAAACTATTGAACCATCCGAGCGTGTGTTTACTATACAATGGATGTTGCCATCTGACTGAAGTGCCTTCCTGGCCCTAGAAACCTAAACAAGGACGGTTATTCTATAAATTCGTACTTACCGTCAGTGGTCCAATAAGTTGCACTAGTCCGCTTATCGGATCTTCGTGAGCGGCGGCGTAACACCAAGCTCGTGAGTTTTTTCAGAGTCACGAGGTATGGGTTAGATCTTTGTATCTTGCATACAACCAAGAGCTGATAACTTAATTTTTCATGATTTTTACCAAATTTACGCCATTTCAGGCTACGCTTCGTCCAGTTGGCTTCGGGCTATGGGTGGCACACCACGCTTCGACAAGATGTCGGCCGATCACGGAGTCAGCGAGAGCGACATGAACTGGTCCCTGTGGCCCGGTGGTCTGACCGTGATGTCGCACAAGTGTCACTAAGTGTGACTAAGGCTCTCGATGCGGCACTGGAGACGAACGTGCTCGAAGTCAGTGGGAATCATTAGTGCACTCCTGTCGTATCACGATCATCAAGCCGCTGTTGAAAAGAAACCAGGCCAAGCTCTGCTCGTGGCTGAGACGAACGGGATAAACTGAATGGGTCTGAGCTACCTGTGACCTTCAAATAGTCAGTAGGAGAGACAAGAGGCTTTATCGATTTTTTGGTCCTAGTTGAGTTGGCTGGCGACTTCCAGAAAAGATGGAAAATGTTGTGTTCGATGCATTAACTGGGACTAAAATGGATGTGGGGAGCGTGGCTATCTGAATTTTCTTTTTGAACTTGTTTTTATCAACATAAAACGAACATAAAACCCACGTTTTTCTGTACCCACAAATTTGGTTTTAGGCGTCCAATGCCAATGTTTTAACGAAAACCAAAGCGAAATGAGTCGTGTGCGCCACAGTGATTGGCTGTGTTCAGTGTGCTTGTGATGGGGTATTGCAATACTTTATCAGTTTTCTGAAATATCACATGAACACCCAGTCCAAATCAACTCCACTCGGGCCATTTGACCGTTGATGAGTGCTACGCCAAGGCGTAGACGCTGTCTACCCATGTAGGCATGCGCTCAATGCCTTCGGGAATATAGGTAAACAATCTGCTTATTCAATAGTCGAACCGTCTGCACTTTTACTCTGTGATCAATACGTCATCTATAACCAAGCGAGTACGTATCTTCTGGGTAGCCACTTGGCAAACCATCGACGCATGAGTAATATTCAGCTACGCCTATGTAATGTTGTCCGACAGTTTTGATTACGCTGTTTTCAATGTTTTCTGGTCCCATTAGCTTCCCTGATATGGATCAGCTGCGATGCCTGTTTAGCATTCAAAGGGAAAAATTTGAAATTCATGCTCGAAAAGTGTAACATCAGGGAGATCGACTTTCTTGGTTTTGACATTATTATACTTGCTCTTGAAATCGTAATTCCTATACCTGGAATTTAAATAATCAGAAGTTAATGGACAACCTTTTCCTGAATGCGAAGGTTTTAATTGTCGAAAACGATTCCCATCCAACTACAAATAAGCGCACTAAGTTCGCTCTCGACGGGAATGAATCGATTTAGGCAAAATGGATAAAAAAAGAGAATATAACTTCCGAGAAATACACTCATTTGCAAACCAATGTGGTTTTCACGAGAGACTCAACTGAATTTCTCGTTTATGACATTTTACAACTGAATGTGCTGCACACAAGCCGCCTCATGATTCAGTTGGCACGATATTCGAGATAGTGCAGTATATTTTCGTAAAGAAAACTACTCACAAGGTTGCTGAAAACTCTTCGACATATGAGTGTATTACTCGAAAACAGTCCAATTTGGGTTCAGGTAGAACATAAGGTTGACGGAAACTCGGGGACTGCGCCTACCTGATGAGCCCCAAGAAGGGCGAAACCGGTCGTGGGCTGTCGAAGAGTTTTCAGCAACCTTGTGAGTAGTTTGCTTTATGAGAATATAACTTTGCTGTAAGTACATGCTCCATGGTTTTGAGCCTAGACTACAGGATGGCAGCTATAGCAGTGCATGAGGTAGGTATAGTTACGTTGCTCAGGTGGAAGCAATTCGGCCAAAGTTTGATGATAGTTGTGTGAAAATGAGACCGAATGGGTGTCCATAAAATCAAGGAATTCAGCTTACTCTTCATCCTTTTTCTTCGAACTTTCAACAGCAGTTTAGTGAAAGCAACATTTAGAAGCACAACAATGCAGCTAGGTTGCTTTGTCTCTGTTACTGTTCTTTTTGTACTGAGTATGAGTGAATAAAAGAAAGTTTTTGGAGATGCTAAACACTCATTTGTAAATGGATAGAGTTTTAAGTGGAGACTTAACTTGATGTACCTTTAATTGGGGCAAAGGCTACACCATGTAGAAGTTCGAACAGATTACAAGGCATAGAAGTAATTTTCAGGGAAGTGATACTTTTGCAGGTTTTTTTTTGAAAAATTGCATGCTCCACACTCACAAACAACTTCCTGTTGAAAATTAGCTGTCAACATCTCCAAAAGCTTTATTCTATACATAGTCTCTTCGTACGGTTCAGGCATCGTATGATGGTTTGACGACTAAGCACTTGTCAGGCAGACAAGGGGAGCACGAGCCTACCTGGTTGACTCAATGCTTTTGTATCGTTGTGTTGCCCACAGTCGACAACATCAAAAACGACGGTAGTGTTCTTTAAGTTATCTCCAGGCTGTCTCAATAATCTCACTGGGGTTTTAACTAACATAAGCCTCCCAGGCCATAGCCCTTGTCTATCATCTAAAAGGCGAAACACCATATTGAGTGGCTATATCCATTTTGGGGCTTTATTTTCCTAAGCCAAAAGATGTTCAATCAATAGGTGAAACGGGATTTATTCGGAGGACACGCTGGAAACTAGCAGACAATACGTTCATCCAGGGCGGATAGAGAGTCTGCACAATGAGGAGACCCCATTGTCAGTAAAAATCAGGAGGCGAGTAAAGTCTTCTGAGAAAAGATGATTTAACGACCATGTGGCTTAAATGATATCGCACATCAGATACTCAATTGACCTGTGCAGCAGCAAATTTGCGTGTGATCTTCCGATCGAAATCTACTTTGCAAATGGTTCATTTCGTTGGTTGGTTTATACCCAGAACTAGGTGGTGCTGAAAAGAGCTGCCTACTCTATGACAACCGGGAAAACAGAGTTATCGCTTTTGGCTGCACTGGACTTTTGGATGATGGCATTTCCAGAACTACTGTATGCGTCTTCAAGTAATTACAAAAGTTCACTGGCTGTTTTACTGATAGAATCATGCAAATATGTAGCCCAGTGTTCTTTTTTACCATTAGTGTATAAAATACCAACTTGACTACAATCGGCTATGGTGAACTTAGACCTTAGGTTTCGTTGGTTTACACCGTGTACAGAAGTATCTGGAGCCTTGAGGCAGTGTTGAACACTTTATTCCACTGGACGACGTTGTCTGCGCCGGAATTTTGAGGGTAGATTCTCGGGGTCTTTTTAGATCCCTTGGCCTAACGGTCTGGTAAATCAGCACTCGTTCGGCGTAAGACACTTCATCGTGTAACCTCACCATGTTGCACCAATTTTCATAATGACAGAATGTTTAGTAGAGGTAAGTGAAATCTGCCATCTAGTGTTTCGCTTAGGTGAGTCATCCTGGCTCCGAAGACTGGGGGTCACTACTCTTCGTGGCTACAAGTTTGCGTTTAGCCAGCTATATCGATGCTAATTTCCAACAATGTCGTTTTTTGAATCCTCCACACATTCACTATAGCAGATTACGATGTGTTGGGAAGAACAAATAGCTGCTAGAGTGCAATCACCTAGCATGATAGCTTCGGGTAAAGGGAAGCCGCTCAGACGATCTTTTCACAGACATACAGGTATCGATCAGGAAATATAACAAAATGTTGTTAGTCCAGTGCGTTCAATGGCGGTGGTGGCCATTGGTCTACACGGTGAGCTTGACAATACGGTTGATAACGTTTCGTTATCAGTCCAGGTGACATCGTCATTGAGCAGTTGGGTGTAGACCTTCTTACGATATGCACCAAACGCTGTCTGTCGGATGATTGTCGCTGAGAGTATTTTGGTAAGATTTATGGAAGTTCTGGTGATTGTGACTCATGTGGGCAATACATACTTGATTATTATTGCGCCAAACCTCACTGAATGTAGGAGAGTGCACTGGCTAGTTTAAAATATCGAAGGCTAACTTAACGGTCTTCCAGATGTTCTTGCAAATCCATGTCTACTTTTTGCGGACGACTTGAAATCCTAAAGTTCAAATGTCAGTGCCCTCGGAATGGATGTAGACGCTGCAAAGCATTGGTCGTTGGACTGGCACCTTCCCCTGAATGACGAAGAGTGCGTCCATATGTCAATGGGAGGAGATTCATCGAACGTCTCTGTCGTGCATGGGGAGAATGGCCCAGAAGACGTTACGAGGATAGATACCAAAAAGGATCTAGACACTTGGTTCTATTCAAACATATCCTCCAAACTGCACCATGGAAAATCGGCTCAAAAGTCATTCGTCGTTCTACGGAATAACTTAGCGCACGTTCCCCGTGTTACTCGCATGGGATTCCAGACATCCTACAGCCCTACGACAGACCGCTTCTTGAATACACCAACCAAGTTGTCCACTCAGGAGGAAAGAAGGGCGTGACCGTCATTGAGCATGTCCAGCAAGCCGCTACAAAAATCGTTGCCAGCCTTAAATCCGTTGATAATGAAACGCGTCTCGTGATGCTTAGTCTATTCCCCCTAGAGTATCGTTGGTTCCGAGGATACCTAATACTTATTTATGCCCATTTTGAACAAGGTTTGGCCGAGAGGTTTTTAACCGTTGACCCAACTAACATACGGCGGCGACAAGTTAAGAAAATTTTCAAGCTCAAATTGCACACATTTACTAGGCAACAGTTTTTCTCATTTCGGGTAGCTGATGCGAGGAATAAACTTCTACCGACACTTCTTCACGCCTCATCTGATACCCAGTTCAAAGCACATTTCGACGCCTTTTTAGCTGAGTCCTCGCACTGACAGGATTACTGCCCAACGCTGAGAACTCCAGTAGCAGTAGTACACCCCTTTTCACATGTGCCTTTCATGGGAAGAGAAGCCACTGAATGACAAGAAGAAACCTGACCCGGGAAGCATGAACCCAAGCCTCGGTCCTGTGTTTCAGTCCGCGTATGCGCAGATCCATGAATAAGACTAATATTGGTCGTGAATGTTGTGAAAAACTGGCACATGGATCTTATTCAGCTTTGATCGTGTTCGAGTGTGAAAGTTGCCTCCTTTCCAAATGAACTTTGTACATTTCGTTCCCGTGAAGATTCGTGTGAATTATCTTGATTAACTAAATTATGTGGTAATATTTATACAGATTAACCGACTTGAGTAGCGGGTTTTGTGCATCCTGTGATAACTATTAGACTTTTTGTAATTACCTACACTTCGCTTCGTGACAAATTGCAAAATATTTTTCAACTTGTAACAGAAGAAGAATTCATCCATGCGGTTTGCAGTTCGATTGCACCACCTAAATTGCCTACTATCTGTTCCACTGCTTTGACGGAGGGTTGAACTTTTATTCAGAACTCAAGCGAGAGGATAAATTTGACGTCAGTTGGCCTACCGTTTGTCGCACCGATTCGCTTAATTTTTTGGGGTGGGCACATATAGAAATCAGCTTCTAATTGTCAGCTACCCTGCCATTCAGCGTTTTTTGTAAAATATAAATAAAAGATATGAACCGGCTTTCTTGGGTTAATTCCACACAACATTGCCACAAAAGACTCAGAACTGGTAAGTGACAAAATCTAAAACAGTTTATGAATCTCTGTAGAATGAAATATGATGTTCTTGATACTTCTCAGTGGTATGGTCAGTTCTTTAGCAAAATGTGTTGTGCTGAGACCAGTTGCAGTGTAGTCTAACAGGGTGATAAAAATGGCGATGTTTTATGATGATAAAACAATGAAAGTTCACTCCCAAGGGGATCATATTTGGTGTTAGACTCGGGAAGTAGACAGGGCACAAATGTAAAATGTGCAGAGGCCTATATCAGGACTTAGACCGCCAACTGTGAAACGGTGTACAAGGTATTCATGCATCCCAACTGCATGTTAACCTGAATTCAGATGGTGAATAGTTAGTATATGCGAAGCGTATCACAATAAGGACAAGATTATTAAAAACTACGTGATCAAAATGCACAAATATGGTGTCATTCGGCGTGAAAATTTGTATTATATGCTCAGTATTTTATGAATTATATGGCTCATAAGTACGTACCCACAGAATCGGAATGATACAGAGTACTCTTCAATCAGGCCCCACTGTTGCATCAGTCCAAGTAGCGTAGGATGAAACACCAAAGATGTCATATCCAAAACCAGTCCGAAAACACCATCAAACTTTTCATCCTTCTCAAGAGCTGGAGACATCTCAGTTACCTCCAGAAACTTGAAGTTATCCATGGTATATCCAGCTATCTAAATGCATTGTGAACAAAGGATTCAATTGGTATTACTCACAGTCAGCTTATCCTCAACAAGCTGTCCAAAAATTTTCATGCTCATATATGTGACGCTAACTGTCGTTTCTGTGGGTTTCCTTGTCTTCGACTTGTACTTCCTTTTCCGCGATTTAATGTTAGGATCATTTGAGCTAGCTGACAGCAGCCACCTCTGTGGTGAACCGGTATCCAAAACTACGTAGAATTTTTGCGGGGGAGTGCCCACTTGCACCGTGGCTACGTGCATGTCCTGAAGCAAAATCGGGTAATGGACTGGTACCGCACCTACTGCTTTGTTGTCGTATTCCAGTGGAACAACAACCATTTTCCTTACAGTGCTAAAGTTCAATTTTCAATGAGCAATGTGGTCCCACAATCCCATAGCAGTGACATCGCAGAAAAGCAAATATTTTGTTTGACTCACTCGTCCGCAACTCCCATCCAAACAAGGACTGACAACACTAAAAAGTTTAGAACCAACATTTTTAAATTTAACCTCAACTAGATACGTGCATTTATACCACCTGTTTGACCTTCGAATGTACAAGGATGGTTTATTTGAATGACAAAGATCCAAAAAAATGATTGGACGAAATGGGTTGTCTGTAGCACTAAACCAATATAGAATGTCGTAGGATCGGTGATATACTGATGTTTAGGTTTTAGTCTATGAAGTTGTTTCCATCCTTAATCAATCGGGTAAGACCAATATCTAGCTGACATGATAGAATTTTATTGTACACTGGTCTGACCAAGACAAGGAGTTGATAAACCGGAACCGGCTTTTGTTTTTCCGGCCTCGATCACCGTACCGACTAGTGCAAAGCAATCCACCAAGATGCTGCGAACTGATGTCTCATTTGTGGAATCAACGGTTCAACAACGGCGTCCATCACCATGATGAATAATATAAGAGAAAGGGGACCTTCCTACCTCGCTTCCTTGTGACAGTGAAACTCCTAATGTAGGTAAACCGCTGCAGAACTCCAATAACACTGTGCTGCAGACACCTCCGGAGATCTCAGGATTACGTCGTACAAAATCCGACAAAATCCTCAATGCATCAACCAAAAGAACTCTGAGTTTAGTATCAGTCGCTAGTGGATAGTGAAATAAGTGCACAAGATCTACCAAGCTTCAAAATAGCCACTATGGTGTAAATTGTAAACTGAAGTGACAGTATTTGTGGCCTACGGTCCCATCTGCTGGCAACAGCTTTGTGAGAAGCATCGAATGAGAATCGATGACATGAAAATTGGTTGGATAAAGACGTAAGTTTGCAATCTGAGTATGACGTAATTGTGGCATCCAATTCCTGAACAATAACTAGTTGAGATACCCAGAAATACCGTAGACGCTGATCCAACAAAGCAGTTTATCCCGACCTGCAGATATACTGCCTATTGTGAGGATAACTTCCTCTCCCCGTAATAGGCTCAATTGAAATGTAATCAGATGGTAGCACTGCTCACCACGCCTAGGCATCAACGTACTTTGGGACATCTGAATCTAGCACTTCATTTTCATTTTCATTTTTCATTTGTGTGATTCCTTCCATGATCACTCTGGCACAGCAGGTGCTGCATCTTTCCGCTCTGATGATAGGAAGTCTTGATGGTGAGGCGGTCGTTTCGGTGAAACGTTTTTTTAACTGGCCACGTTGTTGGCAATGATGTCTGTGGACCATAATGTGTGTGTGCGGATACGTCCTGGATGTGTAGAGGCCGAGAAGCTACAAGACTAGCTTCGCTGTCATGATGAATGACTGCGACGCGTGAGCAAAGGCGAGGCCAGCGTCAACAAATCAGCTTTCAAGGTTGGATGCCAAGACTGACGCGGTGCAGTCCACTGTTTGAATAAACCAGTTAATATAGGTATCAAGGTCAGACAAAGGTGGAACTGTTTGACCACTGTTTTTTTAATTAGATTGCAGCTTACTCTTCTATGTCTTCGATTAAGCACACGTAAATTAGTTTTTATACTGGAAGAATTTCGATCGAGAAAATATTGCTCTAGGATGGCGAACAGTGCCTATCGCCCATCGCAAGGAAGGAATAGCATGTGATCCAGACGCAAGACTAACGTGACCTCGAACCTTTCATTTGTAATGTCCTTTCGTGGCCTAGCTGTCAGTCCACCTGAAGGAAACACAAAGGTTGAGGCGCCACCAGGTTTCCAAGGTTAGACAGCAGCAATCGAGATCACTGAGCACCAATGAGCCCATCTGGAGTAGGCTGGCAGTGCGTGTCGGCGGTTTCTAGTTAGGCTGATATCTGTCGCACAGTTGAGGGGACTTTTGGAAGAGGCTAGTTAGGTAACCGTTTTCGTGCCAAAACTTTCGTGGACTTGAATTTGATGGCGGGCCACCATGCCAGCTATCACTTTGCAACACCACTCACTGTGCCATAAAACGAAACCTACGTGTTTCCTTTGTGTGCTGTGTGTTTCCTCTCTTCCTCTGGAGAGATGCGGGAGCACCGGCTGTTATTCATTGTCAAAAGCACCAAATATATCAAAACTAAATAGGGTTGTTGACACCATCTGGAGTCTGGAGACTCTCATCTCAGTTTGAGTGATATCTGCTCCACCAAGTCCCCGCCAGGATGTGGTTCAATCTGTCTTATAGCATCCAGTGTTTTCATATGGTCCATTTGGGATAGTGGACAAGGCCCCTGAGTGTTTTTCAGATACTCAAAGATTGCACGTGGTCCAAACAGTCCTTGGTAAAATTGCCTTCTGTTTGTCAATCAACGGAGTGGGCTGTCTTTCGCTACGTCTTTGCGGGATCTGTTCACGTGACATAACCTACATGCAGTAAAAAATACTCCACGAATTTAGTACAGCGCTATTCCTTTAGCGTGAACGCTTTCGGACATTGGAGACCATTTCCTGTTCGTTTCCTAAAACAACGCAACGCCTCATGCACAGTTTTCGTGTACATGTAGGGCCTGAAAAAAGTAGACGTCAGTACACAAAACAGGGTAAGTGCACGCAACTCCCACTACTGCACTGTGGAACTCCCTATTTAGCCTTGCGGCATCTGTAAGAACAATGCATTGCGTGAACACAGGTTGCACCCACCCGCACACTGATGTGAACGACTTTCATTGCCAGCCTTCCATGTTGTCGATCAGGACAGCATATTCGCTGGAAGTGATATCAGTTTGACTGCCAAGAGTGACTTTACAGCGTTACGTTCCGATCCGTCCCACTTTATGAATCACAGATATGGTTGCTGCCCCCGGGAGCCCTTTGAATTCGCTCGGTATCCGAACATCGGTCCCTCCGAAGAGTCATCCCGGTCTGATGAGAGCACCAAATCAATCGTGCTGGGATACGCCAAGTGGTTTTCAGGAAGGTTCATTCTCCCTCAATGAATCGGTTGGTTACAATGGTTAGATGGTTTGCCTCATTATGCCACCTTTGCCAAGTTTATGTCGGATTAAGACTATCCCGGGGCCATCATTCCGAAATTTGTCAATGAAGCCTGAAAGCTCTTGCTACTCAACTCAGTCATGTCAGTATCTGTCTTCTCCCTGGATGGGGACCGCTGGATGAGACATGCTAATGGTTAGTGATCTTAACAGATCTCGCTTTGTCGCAGCCAATAATGATCTTGTGTCAAAGATATCCTGCTGACTGTATAGCTCCGGCTCCTTGCCTTGCCGGGCAGGGAGAACCATTTGATTTCATTGAACTGTTCGGGCCATCATCTCCAACAAGTGACTCTCATTCCACCATGATTGTTATCTCCGGTTGACAAAACTGTAGTAGATGGAACCGTTGCGCTGATTGGTTTTTAGCTGAACAGCTGACCTGAACTGGATTCCGCACACTCACGCTCCACCCGGTGCGTTAAAAAAAACTGTTAAAAATGACGGAGAGCTGCACCAACGAAAGGAAACCGAAACCGAGAGACGGAAGCAGCTGCATGCCACTTGTCCGATTGGTAAATCGTGGTAATGCATAGTGCGTTCTGGATCAACCACCAGCAGCAGTTGAAACCGAAGACAGAAAAGTCACTAGTACTGCAAAGAGTTGATTAGATATTGAATAATGTACGGGGGAAAGTTCAGTGGTGCAAAAGGGGATAAGGGTATGACAAACCAGCAGATCACGTGACATGGACATAGTCTGTCGGCTTCACCGGACAGTGGCCGATGCGCCATTGGCCGTGGTCGAGCTCATCTCACCGCAGTTAACCTTAGTTGCCTACTCATTTGATTTTTAGCACAGTGGGTACATAGGCAACGCGGAAGTTGCACTGACAGCATGCACAAGAAAACTTTAGAATCGCTGATTTACTGATGGTATCTCTCTTACTAAAATGCCTCAGACCATGGGCGCTAGTTTGAGAAAGTGCCTTCGAGAATGCACCTCGCTGCATAAGCGGTCAGGGGCTCAGTTATTGAGAACATGCCAGTCATTCTTCACATCGCGCTGCTGACTGAACTGAACCTGCAAGCATGTAAATGCTAGGCGTGCAAGTATGTGACTGTGTAGAGGTTGACTGACAGTAGCGTGAACCACGCATGAAATATGCGTGCTAAGGCAAGACAAAAATATTTAAATGTTTTTGTAATGTACTACTCATAAGGTTGGTGAAAATCCACCGACAGCACACGACCGGTTTCGCCCTTCTTGGGG